TATAGGAAAAAAAAGAAAAAAAGAAAAGTCTGGAAATTATTCTGGAGACAAGCAGCAAATAAACAATTGTTCAAGAAAATCCACTAGAGCCTGTGAAGAATGGTGAGATTCTGTGGTATATGAACAAAGACCACTCCCACCCTTCTCTCTCCCATCTCAGTGATATGGAAACTTTATTCAATAGGTTTAGCCAAGAACACGGGGCTCCCTCTCCCTAAAGCAAGCAGCTGGAGGTTTATTTTCTGGGGAGAGATAGGACATCAGAAATTCTCATTCTGTTCCTAGTGACTTGTTGAAGCTAAGTTCCAGGTTAGTATGGCCAAAAGATACGGGCTCTTTGTCTTCCTCACAGCTCCTACTCATGGGATAGAGGTTCTACATGGACACGGCTTCACTAGGAATGTAGGTCCTATGTCGCCCTTGCTCCAGCCCATTCTACATTGGCAGAAGCAAGCTAAAAGGACTTGAGGCTATTTGTCCCCAACACTTCATGATCCATCCTAAGGTGCAGATATCACTCAGAGGAACATGCCATGATCTCTACCCCAGCTCCAGAGCCAATAGCTCATAGATTTTGCTGTGGATAGGAGGAGGCATAGGGAGTACAGGGGTTGGGGTAGAGCAGAGAACCTGGGAAAGAGAGAGCCTTTATTACCCACCTGAGTCAGAACAAATCTGAATCACTGACCTAGGGAACTATTCTTTCAAAGAAGACCACATTCGATTAGATTGGTCTGTCAAGCAATTAGGTCACAGGACAGTGTTAAAAACAATACAGGAATAATGTGACAATTAGAGGAGCTTAACAGCTGGGTGTGGAAAGAGAAAGAGGCAGTCAAAGAGAGCCCCACCCAAACCACTGTTATTCTAGAGTGACTGTGGGTAGGGCCAAGGTTGAGATACCCTGAGGTGAGACAGAAGAGCTTTAATACTATGGAGGAGGGAAATAGACTTCATTAAGGTAATCCAGCCAGTCATTAAACAAATAAGCAAATGAAAGTAACAAGCCCTGAGGATGGTAGTACCTGGTTTTGCTATAATATATTATCTAAAATGTCAAGTTTCTAACAAAAGATTATAAACATGCAAAGAAACAGGAAAGCATGACACATAGGGGGAAAAACCTGGCAAAAAGAAAATGCTCATGAGAATGACAATGAAAAATAAACTAGAGTAGCTAAATAGTAGACTTGTATTGGCAAAAGAAAGGATTAGTGAACTTGAAGACAGAATAATAGATAATATTTAAGTTAAAGAACCAGAGAAAAAGAATTAAAAAAAAATTGCCTCAGAAAAACGTGGGATACCCGTAAGCATACCAACAGATGTGCAATGAGTATACTAGGAGTGGATAGGGAGAAAGGAACAGAAAAATTTGGTTGAAAACTTCAAAAAATTTTTTAGAAAACATTGGTCTATACATCCAGAAAGCTCAACAAACTCCACAAAGGTAAACACAAAGAGATTCAGAAACAGATACAAATAGTGAAAGCCAAAGACAAGGAGAACATCTTGTGACAAGAGAAAATTGACTCATCACTTGCAAAGGAACCCTAATAAGACTAAAAGCTGAATTTTCATAGAAGCAATGAAAGCCAGAAAGATGTGGAAT